AGTGAGAAAGCAGACTCTCAGGCGTTGTCATCCAGCAAGTGCAGCTCTTCATTGATGGGAAACTTGGCTAATGTAGAGTATAATACGACAAGAAAACAACCTGATATAGACTTAAACTCTCATACTTTTATCAAAAAACGAGACCTTTTTTGTTATATTTGCAGTAAATTCGAGGTAAAGTCTTTGCGGAACAGGATTGACGAAGAAGTACGTAAACTGTATAATGAAATCTTCGGTTTTGAGATTGATCAGATGTCACTGATGTAACGGTGACATACGAAATTTTATTTTTATTTTTAACACTGAAACCTTTTATTTCATTCATACAAAAGTTGAAATCTTCTTCACATGTAGGTTTTGTCCAAACTGTTGGATAAGAGTATTTGATAAACTCCTTATTTTTAACAGATTTCCAACCAAAGATCATCTTTCTGCAACAATTACAAATGATGTTCGGAACCCAATTAGAAGATAGATCAATCTCAAAACCGAAGATTTCATTATACAGTTTACGTACTTCTTCGTCAATCCTGTTCCGCAAAGACTTTACCTCGAATTTACTGCAAATATAACAAAAAAGGTCTCGTTTTTTGCTAAAAGTATGAGAGTTTAAGTCTATATCAGGTTGTTTTCTTGTCGTATTATACTCTACATTAGCCAAGTTTCCCATCAATGAAGAGCTGCACTTGCTGGATGACAACGCCTGAGAGTCTGCTTTCTCACTCTCAACCGCCGATACTGGGGTTCCGAGTCCCTGCATCGTAATACGTTTCCTACGTGTGTCTGCCATGACGGCATCAAAGCCATTATCCAGGGACTTAGCCGGATAGCGGACAAACTCCGTTGCCCACTGTCACCACGTGGAGGTGCCCTCGATGCAGAAACATGTAGAAACATAAAGATATTTGACCACCGTACTATATCTGCCATTTTACATTTGAATAATCTGACGTTAAATTCGTAATCAGCGACTCCAAAAAAACCCCATGATACCAATTTTTGTAAAAATCCAACTACTTTTTAAAAATTTGTCCGTCATATTGGATCCGCCATTTTGAATTTGAATAATCTGACGATAAATTTGTAATCAGCGACTCCCAAAACCCCTAGATACCAATTTTCGTAAAAATCCAACTACTTTTTAAAAATTCGTCCGCCATATTGGATCCGCCATTTTGAATTTTATAAATCTGACGTTAAATTCGTAATCAGCGACCCCAAAAACCCCCGAGTAACAAGATTCAAGCAAATCTGCCATTATTTAAAAAATTTCTCCTGTCATTTAAAATCAGCTATGTTTTTTGAGGTTATGTCAAAATCCTGACGTGATGGAGCTAAACGGACTTCAGATTCGTGTTCAGCGCATCAAAATACATCAAGAAATGGTGGTCTCATTCCCCGGCCCGGGTACTTTTTTTTTTTGTGTGGCTGTGTAATTAATAATGAATGGAAATGTGCGCGAGGTACCTGATCAGTTCAGCTGTACAATTATTTTCGTGCTATTTTCATGAAAAGAATATAAATTAACTGCAAAAACAATTGATATTTATAAAAAAGTGTAAAATTGATTTAATTTTATTGTTTGCAATACGAATTATTAAATAATAATTAAGTTTTTATCAAATGTGAATAGTGTTGTGAAAACCTGTGAAAACTAATGAGTTACTACATTACCGATCGCATATGAGAGATGGCGCCACCAGTTTTTACAATACAGTGCGAGCATGTTTTCTTCCAAGTTTTTGCTTTGAAAGAAAATAAAAAGTGAATTTTAAAATGCAGAATAAAGTTATACAAATAATTATTGATTTCATAATTGTTTCTCGTCAAAAATTACGGACATGATTGCAGCTTTTTTGTTACACTCATCGAGAACTTTTTATTATCATATGCGATCGGTAATGTAGTAACTCATTAGTTTTCACAACACTATTCACATTTGATAAAAACTTAATTATTATTTAATAATTCGTATTGCAAACAATAAAATTAAATCAATTTTACACTTTTTTATAAATATCAATTGTTTTTGCAGTTAATTTATATTCTTTTGATGAAAATAGCACGAAAATAATTGTACAGCTGAACTGATCAGGTACCTCGCGCACATTTCCATTCATTATTAATTATTTATTGCTTTATTAATTACAAATTTTGTACGAATTTACTCTATAAACATTCATTTACCCTTTTATCAACTTTTTTTTATCATAATAAGTCGATTAATAGCTTTTTTATACGTTTTTTTACATGTCTACCTAATGTCTACCTAAAGTCCGCTTAGTTAAGTAGACATTACGCAAATCGAATCCGCCAGGGCGTGAGTTTTAAATATTTTTAGTAATTATTGTTTTAAATACATTTTATTTAATAAAACTAAAAATAATTTGGTGTTTTCACTGTGATCGAGATATATCAAACGGTTTGACAAAGAAATTTTTCAAGACTTTTTGACATCAATTTTATTTGTGGTTTTATTTGTTTAAAAAATGTGTTAGTGCAAGTGTAAGTGTTTTTTAAAAAAATGACCAAATGAAAAACCAAATTGTTTCAAACAACTGCATAAAAAAATATTGAATTTATTTAATTTAAATTATTTAAAAAAAAATACCTAATACATTTTTTCACCACTGTCATAAAAAAGTTAAAGTTTACTACTTGTTTTGTTCCGATAAAGTATCACTTTTTAAGACAATTCTTGACAACTGCCCAAAAAAGACTTTTAAGCACAGTTTAATTTTTTTACTTTTTCAAGTCAATAGGGTTAAAAGTAGCTTATGCGGCTCTCACGAAGCAATTTTCAGATTCGAAATGAGATTTTAATATTAACTGTTATTGCGAATTTTGTTCGACTTGTCTCGGTTGCAGCTCGACTCCGCTCGCCTAGGGCTTACAATTGTCTCTTCTTCGATTAGTTTCCATCTCACCTGCAACTTGCCTTCGTCTTACTCTCGTCACAATGACGACTTTATTAAAAATCTCATCCTCACCAAAAATTTGGAAAAAAATTCAAATATGATGTCAGAAATATGTGTTAAAGTTATTTCAATTTATATCTGCAGGCATATGTACTAAATTTTAGTAAAACTAATATTAACGAACTTTATTCTTCATTGCAAAAATTAGATAATTCCATTTGCCTGGGCTCTCATGGAACGAAAAACTATTGGAGCGTATATTGCAGTTTTTCAAGAGGTAAAAAGACTATTACCCGCATTACATGTAACAGAAGCTATGAGCGACTACGAACCAGCACTACAAGCAGCGTTGCGCCAAGAATTTCATGAAATCGTCTTACATGGATGTTTATATCACAATGTTGCGGTAGCTACAAAAATATTTTACTTTATTGTTAAAAGAACATTAAGTTCTTTTTATTCTTTATCAATAATCAAATATTTAAAATATTGGTTTTTAAAATGTAGACCTATTTTCAATGGCATATAACTCAAAAATTATTAGATTTAGAATTTTCTGCTAAAAGGAAAAATGTTTGTTATTCTTCGACTTTTGAAAAATATTAATGTCAATATTTTTTCGCTCTTTATAAAAAAATTAGTTTTTTTAATTTTGTAAATCAAAATATATTTCATTTTGCAATTTCATGAGTACATTAAAATAGGCTAGTGACCAAAAATATTTTTGTTTCAAAAACAAAAAAATAACATTTTTAAACAAATTCTTAAGGCTATGTGGGCAAAGGACGTTTTTTATGGTTTCAAATTTTCTCTGAAATAAAAAATGATTTTAGGTTAAAATTTTTAAGAAATGATAAAGGAGGATGCAAAGCATATGGGTATTCTACTCATTTACTGTAACTTAACGCAAAAAAACTAAAAATAAAGCAGTAAATAGTAAAATAATGTATTTTCTGATAGTCCATTCAGCAGCCACTTGGTCGAATTAGGGCTATTTCCTGTAGCACTGTCCAATTTACGCAAAGTCTGTGTATGCGGCGCCATGTTTGTTTTCATTTACGTTTAAAAATGTCACATTTTAATCAATTTTTAAATTAATTTAACGCATAATTAAATTTTTTCAGAATAAAATCGATGTGCATTGTACCCTTTTCTATTAATCCTAAAAAATTTTAGCCCAAAATATTTTTTCATTTTAGAGAAAGTTTTGGTTTTCGCAAAACACATTTTCCCATTCTAGGTAACGTTGGAGTTTCTCAAATGCCGTTAAACAAATGTATCTTCATACTCATTCTAAAAGCTTTTAACAAATCTTACTAAATTCAGGTATATGTGACCGGGTCGGAGAAAACGGTGTTATCGACCAAAAAATCAATTTTTTTAATGATGGTTTCTTATAGTTTAAGGTCCTAAAAATACAATGCAACTAGTCCTCTAGGACATCAGCAAGTCGTTTAAATTAAATTTTAAAATTTCATATTTTTACTTTTGCAAAACAAATTATTTATAACAATAACACTGATGTTCAAAAAATTATTTAACCATAAAAATCGTGTTCAGCATAAAAAATACATAAGAAACACTTATCTAGGTCCTTTGAAATATTAAATGTTTCAAGAAATATATTTTAATTAGTAGTAAGACTTTAAACGCGTTTTTCTCGAAAAGTTGATTTTGGTCGATAACACCATTTTCTCAGACCCGGTCACATATATTCATACTTTTTTTTCAAATGACCTGAAAGAATTAAAATTTGTTTACAATAAAAAAAAATAATAATAAATGAAAATATTAATTTTTAATAAACTTTATCAAAAATTATTATTTTTAAAATATAAATTTAAAAAAAATGTCGTTAATATTTATCGAAAATCGAATCGAAATAATCGAAAGAAACTGAAACTTTTTATTCTCTTAACAGAATTTGTAAAATTTAATAATTATCAAATTACACGCCTCTGAAAATAAGTCTGCATTTAAAAACCAATTAAGAAAATACAAACAATAATAAAAAATTAACAATGAACAATCTTTTTTATGTTAAGTACATAAAAATTTAATCTATTTTAAGAGGTCGACTTAATCTCCTTTGATGTGGAATCGACCATGTAAAAAATTGTAAACCTATATATTCTTGTACATAGAATTAATGTGTTAATAGAAACTTTATTTGTAGGCTCTTTTAAAAAAAAAGAAAAAGTTACGACTAGATGCAGCTTTAGATCAGTGTCCAGAAGGACTTCATGCTCTTAGAGAAATTATGGCTTTACCATTGCTACCGGCAAATGAAATTGAACGAGCTTTCAATGAACTTGTAACTTCCTTATCTGCTCCTACACGACGAATTATGGGGCCACTTCTTCGTTACTACCGGCGACAATGGTTAAGAAAAGTAACACCTCAAATTTTTAGTGTTCATAACCTTCGTAGGCGTACTAATAATAACATCGAATCATATCACAGAACATTAAAAGACCGGTTCGGATTGCATTCAAACATTTGGACTTTTAGTGGTAAGATTCTGTAATGATTTATAATTGTCAACTTTTTATTCTTAATTTATTCCACCAGAATCGCATAGATTTCAATTAAGTAGTCAGTTTATAATTATTTATTTAAACATTTTAATAACAATGAAAACCAATTTTTATTGAATTAAAATCGTACAAGTTTAGTGCGTATATGTCTAGTCGATCTGATACATATTCGCATAATATCTAATCGGTATAATGTCCAGTTAGTTTAAAGCCTAATCGGTATAATTTTCAGTCTGTCTAAAGTCTAATCGGTATAATATCGGTTTGGTAAAATGTAATGTAAAAATTTTTTAGTATTTTAAAAAAAAAAATCCACAAATCCGTGAATTAAATAGTATGACAATATTTATTAAGCTCGGTTATCAGAAGTACATACAAAGATAGTAACCATTTTTAGAAAAAACGATAAAATTAATACCTAAATGTAACCATAAATTGTCTACTTTGCCCATAAAATTGATTAAAAATTAAAAATCGAAGAAAATAAGAAACTGCTATTTTCAATGAAAATAATATTATATTTAAACAATTCCTTATTGCAGATAACCTTGTAAAATATCAAGCATGCCTGGAAATTGATTTGAAGTCTCTTGAACGAGGTCACAACATTAGCAGACTGCCCAAAACAACGAATGTTATAAAAGACGCCCAAATTTTAGATGCCTGGAGACAACTTCATCAACCAGGAGGCCTAATAACAAAGCAGTTTTTACAAAAATGTGTAAACATCTTTATCGACCCACTTGAAGCTTATTTCAACGTAAACTTAAATGACTAAAGGATTTAAGTAAAGAAAAGAAGTTTGTTTAAATGAATGTAGGGTAAATTTTATTTTTCGTAATAATTGTTTAAGACTTAAAAGCACACTCTAGAAATTTGGAATAAAGTCAAGATATTTGTTAAAATAAGATTCATAATGAGCTAAAAGTTCTGAACGTTCAAATGAACAAAAAAAATTTTTTCACTCCATAAATTATTAAAAATTATAAAGAAAATGTAAAATAAAACAGTAAATTAAACAATTATTAAATAAATAACACTTTTTTAGTTATATAAAACAATATTTTGTAATAAAATTCGTACTTTTAAGATACAAAAAAAATTTCGTTTATTTCAACGTTCAAAACTTTTGGCTCATAATTCATCGGCATGGTATAGAAACATTTGGTCTTAATTTTATTTTTTGTTTATGTATCTGTGATATTTATTTAAGTACAATTTGTCATTTCTGACGTTTTATACTTTTTTAGTTTTTAAATAAATAGGAAGAGATACAAATAAAGAGTATATAAAAATAAAGGTGGCTAAAAAAATTATTTTAGTATAATTTTTTTTATTGTAAAATATTAAATTAATTAATTATTATTAATTATTTGAATATTTAAATACTATATGTACAAATGGTAAATTTCTTTTTAGTCCCGTATATTAATAAATAAATAAATAAATTACTTTTATATTTAATATAACTGTTGCAAAATAATTTAAAAAAATGATTTAAATCTTTTTTTTTAATACAATTACTAAAAAAGATGCACATTTAAACAATTACGTATTAATTTAATTATTTGAGATCAAATTTGTTCCCTCACCGTAATTGAAAGATTTTTAAGATTTCCATTGGCTTCAATTACGATGGGCATAGTATCTTCAAAATACACGTAATTTTGGTCACCGAAATTGACACACCGAAACAGATACAAACGCGCGGTAACAGAAAATTACGCTATTAGTTTTAATTTCTCATATTTGTTAAAATAATTGATTTTTATAAAGTTAATTTTTTTTAATATCTAAATAACATAAGCTTTTGAGTTTAATAAGTCTTAAATTTACTTTATACAATCAAAATGTCGAATTTTCTATTTCACAGGTGTTTTGACTCGAATCGCGCAGTAATTAGTGCATTTACCCTACATTAGAAAACTATCAAAGATTATTTAAATAAAATGTTAAGAAAATCTATTGTCTTTTATGAAAAATTAAAAATAACTTCAAATGAGTAATCAATTCAATTAAGAGAAAATTGAATAAATGGAAATTTTTCTTATAGAAATATTATTACAACATTGTATCTGATTTGAAACAATTACTTTTTAATGAAACAAATCTGATATTTATATTATAATTCATATAAAATTAATTTAGAAAATTTAAAAGTTCGTCCCTATTTACTTCCTGTATTAATATTTTATTCTTTTCATTGAAAAAAATACATTATTGTATAATATTAGATCTATAAAATTTTTTTATTCACATTTTTAATATTATTATATGTAAAATTAAACTGAATAATATTTTCACAATAATTTTTGTACAATGATTATCTTCATTTATAATAATTGGTTTGACATATTTAAAAAAAAATTAAAAACAGAAGAAAAATACATAATTCGTCAGAGTCACGGTATCTATCGTATAAAATTTAAAGGTAAAATTTCTCATATGATAAGATATATATTTTGATCGAATGTCATTTAAAATAACTAATTATAAAAGTTTTAAATCATTAAATCGTTTAGAACATTATACATTAAAAATGAAAGAAATATACAAAAGAATATTTATAAATTTCAAATTTTTCCACTTACCTTGTAATAATATATAATTTCACTATTTTGAATTTCACGCACATTTAAAATGCACTGTAGAAACTATACGTGGCGCTATCTGCATTAACAAGCGACCAAAAACAAACTGAACATTGAGTGGAAACTCGTACCTTAAATTGAATTCTATTATTTGACATTTTGGTGAGTTAAAAATTTTATCAAATAAAAGTTCGATTATTCAAAAATTCAGTTATACAAACATTCGTTTATATTGCAATAGTGTTAAATAAGATTTAATTTAATAAAATGTTGGTCATATGAAAGTTTGACGATATGAATCTTATGTCAAATATAAAGTAATTTAAGCAAAAATCTATTCACATGTTAGTTAGGTTATTAAAAAATTAAACTAAATGAGAATTTGAATAAATAAACTTTTCATTAAATATTACATATATAACATAAAATTTGTACTTAAAATAAATTGTGTTAACCAACAATTATATTGAATATACTTTTTTTTAAATAAAATTTCTTTCTCATAACATTTTATTATCTTTTTCATTCTTTTAATCTTTATGTTGAGAAAATAATATTATTTCAATTAATAATTATTATGAATAAAACTTTTAATAAATTCAAAGTCGGGTACACAAAAATTTGATTGTAAGCAGCTTACTGTCATTTAAAATTATGTCTCCCAAAAATATAATCAAATGAAAATTCACTAAAATACACTTTCTAGTAACAAAAATTTGTATTAATTATTTTTTTTGCTACATATGAAAACTATTTAATGGAATTTCGGTTGAATTAAAATTCTTTTAAATAATAAGTAATTGTATTAAAATTTTGACAATTGGATATCATGTTAAATAGATATGCTCTTATCAGAATATTCTAAATCCTACAAATTCCTCTAAATCATAATTAAGTGCACAAACATTTCTACACATGAATATTTTTTTATCCATAATCTCTGTTCTCTCAAAATTCGCAATAATTGAAATTCAATTAACTACAAGTTCGCGGTTTGAAAATGATATTATATTATCTTTCAAATAAATATTAATTCGATCAAGAGATAATTCTACAACATTATTAATCATCCAAATAAGTTTTCATTGGCATCAAATTTTATCTAAAATGTAATTAGAATTAATTGATTTCTGGTAAATATCAATTCTAAACAAAGAATTCCGAAATATTGATAATTCTATCAAATGATCATTATGTGATATTCATGCGCCCCAATTCCTATTTACAAACATGAATAAAAATATAAAAGAAATCTTATTTTTATACAAATGATTTTCTCAAATCCAGCGATACATGTGCAAGAAAAGTATTGTATTTTCTTTTATATTTCATGTAATTATATGAAAATTTATAAATGTATATATTTCATTTTTCATTGTAAAAGTCTGTTAACAAGAAGTGAAAAAAAAATTTATTTATCCGTTTTTACAGTGATAAATTAACTTTCAAAATGTTCACATGCACGGGTAATATGAAAGATTATACAGGGTGTCCCAGTCGAGGGTGTACATATTAAAGGGACATATTCTTCAGAAAAAAATAAGACGAAAAGTCCTTTACAGTTTTTTAAAATTTTTTATAGTTTTTGCGTAAATTGCAATTGAAAATTTAAAAATTACGCGTTGTGATTGGCCGTGCAAGCTCAGTGGGCCGGAAAGCGGGGCGACTTGATCAGAACATTTCCAAAACTTGCAGGCGTGGGCGTTTACCATCAGCGCTGTGATGCATCGGGTTAAAATAAAATAATAAATTTACACTTTAGCGTACGTATTAAATTAATAACCATTTTATAATGTTAAAATAACTACCTAACTTTCTTACTTAGTAAACTCCCACGCCTGCAAATTTTGGAAATGTTCTGATCAAGTCGCCCCGCTTTCCGGCCCACTGAGCTTGCACGGCCAATCACAACGCGTAATTTTTAAATTTTCAATTGCAATTTACGCAAAAACTATAAAAAATTTTAAAAAACTGTAAAGGACTTTTCGTCTTATTTTTTTCTGAAGAATATGTCCCTTTAATATGTACACCCTCGACTGGGACACCCTGTATAACCTCCAAATTTTAAAATCTTAAACTTACCTGGCAAAATGTAATCACTTCGTTTGAAATGCAGAGAACATACTCTCATAGAAGGCTTTATACTGTTTATTTTTAAAGCATTTTTCCAGGCCTTTAATTGATCGACTTTTTCAAAATTATCGAACGTATTTTTCACATCCACTACTCGTTGTTTTGGTTTCGGAAATTTATGGAAAATTACGCTTAAATTTTTCGCTACAGTACTGCCACAGCCTCTCACAGAACACTTAATTCTGTAGGAAGATTTCTCACGCGGTAAAAAATGTAGCTTCATTCATAATGATAAAATAATTAACAATGACAGCGGAACTACAATTGCAAGTGACACAAACAGTTATCCAAAACTAGTTACATTTTTCAACACCAGATGGCATGTGTACGAATGTCAGATCCCAATAAAGATAATAAATCGTTCTTTGTAAATAACAGCAGAGTATTGTGGGGTGCAGTTACTCCAATGGAAATTTGTTTTTTTCAGGTAAAAGTTTTGAGGGCATGTTTGAATAATAATGCTTATTTCATAAAATCATTCAGGTATCTAGTCCTGCTCAAAAATACGATTAAGGATCACTTTTACTAAAAATATCCGTAGTATGTCGTGGGGATATTTGAAAAATATCCCTTATAAAGGCGGTTTGGATATATACTAGGATAAACTGGGGACGATTTCAAGATATCCAATATCATGTCAAGATATCCTTTTATTGTAAGGGCATTTGTTAATACTTTTGATTTAAAAAAAATGTTATTTGCATAGGTCTTGTTTGGCACAGAATTAAATCATATTTCAGATAAAAAAAGAATTGACAGTCAATGTTAATTTCTTCATAAATGTTATTAATTATACAAAAAATGACAATGATTACTTATTTAATTAATCAGTATTATTTAATGAATTACTAAATTATTTATTATTAATATCAGTATTATTGTACATATGAAACTGGCACCTAGTTATCAGCCCTAAATTAATTTTGTAGAAATTTATTTTAGAAATAACATAAATAATAATATTTATGTAATTATTTTATTAATAAAGTTATTTTTATTAACTTTATATTATTAATTAATAACATAAATTTTTTCAAAATTAACTTGAGGCTGAGAAGCCACAAAAGTGGGGGTATACTCGGGGAATACACGGGGCGAACACATCAGACAATGAAAAAAGTCGGTCATTCG